CGGTTCGATCCCCAGCTGTCCTTCCTCCTCTACATCCTGTCTCTGACCAGGACCATTGTCCTCCAACTCCGCCACATTGCCTCCAACCATACGCCTCCAACCGTACCTTACCCCAAATGCAGCCAAAATCGTTGTGCATATGTTTGTCATCTCTCGCATGGATTACTCAAACGCACTCCTCGACGGTCTCTTCAGCTCCACTATTCAAAAAAATCCTGCTCATTCAGAACTCTGATGCCTGCATACTTATCCAGTCCAAACTCGGTACCCCCATCTCATCAGTTCTGGCCAGGATCCACTGGTTCCCCATCATTAACAGATCGACTTCAAGATCTTCACACTTGTTTTCAAATCCATTCGCTCCCTGGCACCTCCCTACCTCTCCGACCTCCTCATTCCCCAATCCACCACCCGGCACCTCCGCTTGACTGACACCGGCCTCCTAATTGTCCCTCGCACTCTCCACTCCACCATTGGAGGTTGCGCTTTCAGCCACAACGCCCCCAAACTGTGGAACACAATCCCTCCGCCTTACCTCCTCTCCCCTTTTTCAATTACCGCCAGAAAAAATTTCTTGTCAACCATGCTTAGGTCACCTCCCCCGGCTCGGAGTCAGGCTCCTCCACTGTTAAGCGCTCTGAGATGCTACTCTGCTTGGAGAGTGCTATATAAGTGCAAGTTGTTGTTGTTGTTGGATTGCAATCGGTTTTCCACAAACTCAAAACTAGTTGACTCAACTTCACCCCTCAATCTCCCTGAGGATGAGTCCACACTAACATTCTTCAATCCCTGAACACATAATAGCACATTCATCCAACCCACACATTTACCTTATCAACACAGGCATTCCTGCATTCTTCCCTTCAGCAGTAGCAGAATGTAAACTGATGAATAATAGTAATCCTTGCATATAGCGACGTCTCAAAGTGCTTCACAGAATAGATTATAAAGTGATCTGACAGTATATTTGTGGGAGAAATGCGGCAGCCAATTGCGCACAGCAGTATCCCACAAACAGTCATGGATTAAAAATGACCAATTTATTATTGTTTTGTTTTGGAGGGATTATTATTAGCCGTGGGGAGTAAGGAAACTTGCCCAAGGTTTCACCCTGCCTGGAATTGAACCCATGTGTCTCGCTTGCAAGGCGAGTGCTCTAACCACTGAGCTACAGGACTCCACGTGTAATAGGATCATGTGTAGTATTTACTCTTCCCATCTGCACGTGTCCCAAAGTTAGGTAGGGGAAATATCAGCCAGTGTTCCTGATCGTCATCCCTACTAGGCTCTGTACATGTTTAGATGTCCAGCCAGGACGGGATCAAGCTCATTTGTGATGTCCTCTCATGGCTGAACAGCCTATTAGGCTCATTGACCAGGCTCAAACATGATGAATAGCGAGCTGATGAAGTACTAATTATGTTTACTTCAGCATGAGTCACAGCCTTCTGGCGAGGGAGGGAGAAAATTGGATGTAGAAGTTTAATTTAATGGAAGAAAGTCATCAATGGCATTTTAACTATTGTTCTGTTTAAAAATTAACCAGTCCACTTCCATAGCACTCCTTAGTGTTCCTTAGCACTTTTAAATATGTTGAAATCTAACAAAACATTTATTATATTCCTAAATGAGAGTCTGTGGGTGTAACAATCAATTAATTTACTGTGGAGTAAAGTGTGTATCACAATTTGCATTAAATACAGTGTACCTGTAAATACTGTACAAATCTCACTACTTTTCCTTTCCATGAATACATGGAAATCTGTCCTGTAAATAAGGTCTTCAATTAAGGCCTCTGGCGGGTATCAACATTCCATATGTCTGGCAAATGTTAACGCCTCATTGTAACAGATGCCTTTAACTCTTTTACAGACCCGTTTCACTGGAGTTCCTGGCTGGTGATGACAGAAACAGCCTTTTTTCTGATTTTATTCCAAAGGAAATGTGTTGCATGTGATAAAAATAATAATAAGCAGCAAAACAAAACTGATCTACAATGGAATAGAAGCGTAGACATGAGGAGATCTAATGCTGCAAATCACATAACAGTAGGCGGGCGACGAATGACATCTGTCAGATACATTTACTCTGAGGGTAGCAGGTTGTCATTTTATCTAATAGACTGTCACTTTCACTGACATACGACTGAAGAAGTCAGAATAAAAGGTTAGTCATTACAACTATACGACTGCAATTTAAAAACAATCAAACTATCTGAATGCAAGTCTAATATGAAGAAGTCCTGGACTGTTTGACTTGAAAACCGTGATACTAGCTTTAAAGTTAGTTGAAGACTAACTCATGTCACAAAATAATTTTGTCTTGGTTGGAAGCTGATCTTTCTCCTCCACAATGGGTGATTTGAACATCAGGCCACAGAATTGTGGCCTGAAATAGTGGGATGGGGTTGCAGCTTATTATAATAATCTTTGCATTTGATATTGTGCCTTATTGTGTCTTCAAGATGTCTCAAGGCGCTTCACAGGATATATACTGTAAAGTATATTTTATGGGAAAATGCAGCAGTGTCCCTCAAACAGTCGTGGATTGAGCAACTTTATTTTAATATAATCTATTTTTATCACTTTATTAACATGACAGGCCTTTTCTACATAACAGGGAAGGTCCAGGACTGGTAAAAAAAAAATTGTGATTTGCAAATTGAAAATAAATGTACATGTGAACTATTCTCCTGGTTACCACCATTCTTTGGACTCAGCTCCATGGTGTTCATGTGATGGATCCTATCCCAAATCCTCAGGGTGCAGCAGAGCCATTCTTTAGTAGGCGAACCAGCTCTGCAGTACCCTAGAAAGTTAGTGAAAACACTAGCAAAGTAACAAAATGAGGAGGTCAGTAGTGAGTGGCCATGGCATTCGTAAAACCATGTCTGTAAAGTATTACTTAATTTGTTCTGTCATATGTGCAGTATCTGACGAGGTGTCAGCTCAGAGGGCACGATATCACTGAACTATGTCAAGAATTGCCTAACCATTTACCACCTGTAATTGCAACATTTTTTTGTTAGGTGTGAAGGTCACTAAACCCATGATATTTTTTACTGCTGCCGCCTTCCTGGTTCTAAGCAGCAATTATATAGGAGCTTGCCAGTCAACCATAGCAAATTGGATACTAAAGGTCACTAATGAGCTGCTCAAGAGGGCATTTCAGTAGATAAACTTTGCTGAAACAAAGCGATCAGAATCTTCCATTACTGGGTCTCCGAAAGTACTCATGTCCATTTTACACTTTGAATTTCGCAAAGTGGGGTGAAGCAGTACAATCCTAAAGCAAACCAAAAAGAAGCCTAATTCCCCGCAGAAAGTGGTTTGTCTGCTCAGTACTTTCACAGGACCACTTTCTCGCATTAATAAAGGCTCTGGAAGGATGAGATCAGAAGGATCAAAGGACCTTCTTCAATTGGAGGCAGAACGGGGTGGGAGGGGGGGAAAGGAGGCCAATACTCTGGCATCTTTGGTCGTGATTTTACCCCCTCACTGGCCTCCGGCTTTGTCCCTCCCTCCCCCATTGAAAAAAAAACTTCTGCCACCAATTCCTTCTTCATCCAAACCAGTCTTGCGGTTATTTTTTGGTCAGCCATATGCGAAACATGTGCATAACACATGTGAAAACCCATCACCATGGTTAAGAGTATCCAATCCAAACTGAGAATTCCATGCATCCCACCTACACATGGAAATTCCAGATAGATTGTTGGAATTGTCTCTCCCTGAAGGGACGCATCCGATCAGGCAAAGGATACAGTTCAAGATCCTGTTTTTCACCTTCAAAGCCCTCCATGACCACCTAACCTCCTACCATCCTGCCCGCTCCCTCCGCTCAGCAGGCTCTGGCCTGCTTCACGTTCCCCACCTCGTCCGCTCCATTATTAGCGGGCGCGCCTTCTGCCATTCTGCACACACCCTCTGGAACTCCATCCCGCAGTCCCTCCGCCTCACCCTCTCCCTTGCCTCCTTCAAGACCCATCTCAAGACCTTCCTCTTCGACCACGTTTTCGATCACCCTGCTTACCCCCTGCCCTCCATCCTCCCCAATCCCCAGCTCGGGTCCGAAACACTGACTGTCCAGCGCCTTGGGACGTCAGCCTAACATGGAAGGCGCTACACAAATGCAATTTTGGTGTTGTTGTTGCTTACCTAATTCCGAAAATTATTAGGCGCAGGAAGGCAAGAACCAAGACTTGGGGACCTCAGAGTGTATGTTGGGGTACTGATGGAGATTAACCAACTAAAACCTCATACCTTACCATAGATGTCGCTATCTGGCAAGCTTTCCTGCTGCTTGTCCAGCGAGGACCACCCTACCCATTACGGCTTTGGCTTGAGTGGTTAATAGTAATTGGGTGGGATGATTCCCTGCCCCCAGTGACTGGTCTGCCCCCCTCCCACTCACACACAACCACACACAACCACACACGTGCGTTCACACAACCACCCGCGTCCCACACACACAACCTGCTCTCCCCACGCACACTACCCACACGCCCCCCACCCGCCCCCCACCCACACGCATACCGCCCGCCACCCCACACCACCCCACCCCCCGTGCGTGCGCACGCACTGCCCCCCCATGCACTCCGCCCACCCCCACGCACGCACTCCATCCACCCCCCCCCACACGCACACACACTGCCCCCCACGCGCACACCACCCACTCCCCACACTCCCACACCCCCACACACATAACCCCCCCCACACACATAACCCCCCCCACACACATAACCCCCCCACACACTCATAACCCCCCCACACACATAACCCCCCCACACACACATAACCCCCCACACAAACCCCCCCACACACACATAACCCCCCCCCCACAACCCCCCCACACACACATAACCCCCCCCACACACACATAACCCCCCCCACACACACATAACCCCCCCACACACACATAGCCCCCCCCACACACACATACCCCCCCCACACACGCACGCAGACATGTAAGTGAACCAATCCACGACCCAAATCACTCACCATAATCCTCTTCTCAGGCGCCCCTTTACTTCTCCTCTTCGTCTTTGCGAACGAACCCCCCCCTCCGCCGCGCTTTACACCTCGACGCCCCTCGAGCGAGGACACGCGACGCTCCGAGCGCTCCAATTGAACCACGAGTCTGCGCGGGCGGCCTTGAGCACGTCTCGCGAGACCCATTTAAAATCGGCCCAACCGCCGCGGCTCGAGCTCTCCGGTGACCGCTCCGCCTCCATTTGCGCCCAACGTGACCCGATTGGGCGGCTTCACGCCCAATTGGGCGCGTTTGTGTTGTGCTGCACGTGAAAAAAAAACGACTGGGGGTGGGGGGGGGGTATTTTTTTAAATTTAAACCTGCAAAGTGTTTATTTCCCCCCTTTTGAAGACTTCTTCTTATCCAATTTCAAAAAGCACTAACCTAAATTGGCCACTCTGCTCGCCCATGGGAGGCAGCACATAGCTTTGGTCTACTCTTGGGCTAGTGTTTGGATGACTTTGGGCTACCAAACGTATTTCTTTTGCACCCCCTCACTTGCCTCTTGTCATTGAGGCGCCTCTCTCTCCCTGCGGTTCCCCCGAGCTTGCGACTACTGCTATTCCAACTGTTAAAATGGAACGGACTTTCTCTCCGTTATGCGTGGGGACGCACTGCTGCGCGCAATTGGCTGCCGCGTTTCACCCGCAACGTACACAGTCGCTACACTTTACGGTGTATTCTGTGAAGCGCTTTCAGACGTCTCGAAGACGTGATAAGGCGCTATATCAAATGCAAGGATTCTTATTAGTAGTAGTATTAATATGTCCTGACCAACACATCCTCCAAATAAAACCGGCCACTTGCTCCATGGCTGTTTGTGAGCAAATTGGCTGCTGTGTTTCACGCCCACAAAATTCACACTTTAAAACACCACCGACCACAACTTGCATTTACATAGTGCACTTCACATGGGGTAGCGTCCTGGGGCACTTTACAGAATATCCTGCGAAGCGCTTTGAGATGTCTCGATGACATGGTAAGGTACCTATACTAAATGCCAAGTTTTTTTTATTATTTACTGCTTATTTAGTTTTCAGATCACAGAGAGCCTTTTTATTCCGTGCACTCAGTCAGGCAAAAGACAAACAAGCTTTAACAACTGACCTCTTTTCTCCCCGTACAATTTATGGACGTGTGGCTATGCCCCTACTGGGAAGATATGTGTATAAAGTTAACATGAATGATAGTGTGCATGTCTAACATGCTTTGCTTCTATACTTGCTCTGCAGTGAACCTCTCCTGGGAGATGGTCCAAATACACTGTTAGGTGCTTCCCTAGTACTAGTTATACTGTACACTGGTGGAGGAAGTGAAGTACTTATTGGCACTTCTGGGATCCAGAGACACTATGCTTATTTGAGCCATGGATCTCTGGTACTATAATAACAATCTTTGCATTTGATATAGCGCTTTTCACGTCTTCTAGACATCTCAAAGCGCTTCACAGAATATGATGTAAAGTGAATCGACTGTATATTTGTGGGAGAAAGTGACACCTACTGTGTTACTCTCTTCGAAGGTGACACCTACTGTCACTTCTGTGGGATATGTAATCCTACAAAAGTGTCACCCTGACACAACATTTGACTGAAGAAAAAGTCCTACCACCTACTGCCACTTCTCTGAACCAGATGAACAGCTTGGCTTAGAGAAGTGGCAGCAGGCAGTAGCAATCTGGCCTCTGTGTCATATACTTGTGGGGATAAGCCCCACATTGGTCCTTGAACTCACAAAGTGTATATGACATTATCAATGCAGTGCTGGGGGTACATTGAATGGTGGGGGTGCCCTCCATTCATAACATAGGATGTTAAACTAACATTGGAGTATGCATATTGGATGCCACATTAATCTACAAAATACGCACTGCAGTAGATCTCCTGAAAGACTTTGAGACGTCTTCCTGATGTGAAAAACGCTATACCAAATGCAAGGATTATTATTTTATTAAGCCCTGCCAGCGTGAGCTGTGCTGCTAAAACATGTCACTGGCGGATGGCACCTTCTCACAATGCTCACAGATAGGTTACAGTACAATCATAAGACGATAAGACATAGGAGCAGGAGTAGGCCATTCGGCCCCTCGAGCCTGCCCCGCCATTTAATAAGATCATGGCTGATCTTCTAACCTAATTTCATTTACCCGCCCTATCCCCATATCCCTTAATCCCTCTATCCTTTAGAAATCTATCAACCTCAGCATTGAATATGTTCAAGGACTGAGCATCCACAGCTTTCTGGGGTATAGAATTCCACAAATTCACTACCCGCTGAGTGAAGAAATGTTTCCTCAACTCAGTTCGAAAAGGCTGACCCTTAATCTTGAGACTATGACTTCTCGTTTTAGATTCTCCAACCAGGGGAAACAGTCTCACAGCATCTACCCTGTCAAGACCCTTAAGAATCTTATCCGTTTCTATAATATCACCTCAATTCTTCTATATTTTAGAGAATATAAGCCTAGTTTACTCAACCCTTCCTCATAGATCAACCCCCTCATACCAGGAACCAACCTCGTGAATGATACTCCTCTAAGACGATTATGTCCTTTCTTAAATAAGGAGACCAAAACTGCACACAATATTCTAGGTGTGGTCTCACCAAGGCCTTATACAACTGCAGAAAGTCTTCCCTACTCTTGTACTCTAACCCTTTTGCAACGAATGCCAACATGGCATTAGCCTTCCTAGTTGCTTGCTGCACCTGCATACTAACTTTTTTGTGACTGGTGTACAAGGACACCCAAATCCGTCTCAACACGAACACTACCTAGTCTCTCCCCCTCTAGAAAATCATGGGGTTTTATCAAGTCTAGGAACCTTTCCATAATGTTGGCTGCCACGTTCACCCACAAATATACAGTCAATTCACTTTACAGTGTGTTCTGTGAAGCGCTTTGGGACGTCCTCCCGACGTGAAAAGCGCTATATCAAATGCAAGGATTATTATTATTCTCCACAAGATTTATAGCTAGTCCAGTTGGCAGCTTGGATCTTTGACCTCAATGCCTCTGTAGAAAATTAATGAGACATGTTCCTACTCAGTGTGTACCCCGTGTAAATGTAATTCATTATGATTGTAAGTTCTCCATTGTAAACTTCAGGTGCTTGAGTATTTTGCAGCAGGTGGGGTCCATCGAGTCTTCCCTATTTCTATGAAGAGAACAGATGGCATATTATTAGTATAAATGAATAGAAATCCCTTTGGATACTGCAAACTGAACAAAAATAATTATATAATGAACTTAGATATGTATACAACATTTTGTGCAATTCATATATTATTCTGAAATAATATGGAACTTACCATATTACTTATGGCTTTCCTCTGCTCCGATGTCTGCAACGCCAACACCTTCCAAATTCACTCTTCTGAGCCCCTTCAACTTGCAATAGTTGTTCGAGCCACAATCTATTGTCCTCTGAGTACTGCCTTTGACCAAAGAAGCTGCGATTACGAAATGGTGATTTGGTCCAGAAAAATCCTTCCTATATGACATTAGCTATTCCATCATGAAATATTCATTATAATTTACATAATCCTGTTATTTTCCCATTTATCACTTTGCCTTCTAAATTATTACTGACATTGCTCTGTCAGTACCACCTCATATTTCCTGATGTGTGCATATGTCCTGTGCTTTCTATTGATCGCCAGTATAAATTCTTTCCTTGGGGCTTCAAGTCTTGTAAATTCATCTGAATCTTCTTCCAATTCTATGAATTTCTAACAGATATTGCCATATGAACCTCCCAGTTTGCAATGGGAGCTGCAGTCTGGTGCTTTTGCTCCATGACTAACAGAAAGATCTGAAGGACTCGTCTGAAAATCTTTTCCCTTATACAATTTTTACCCAAAGGTATTTTAGCTACATCAACTACATCAGTGAAATACTCATCATTGAATCTGAAGTACTTTGGCAGTTAGATATACCTCATTGAACATTAAAGTAGTATAGTGGTATAAAATATTACTTGTATTTGATATAATGGCTTATCATGTCAAAACATCTCACACAAAACAAATTACTTTTGCACCATTGTGAATATTGCTAGGCAGGCAATATACCCAGTAATCAACAATAACAATAAAATGACATTTGTATAGCGCCTTTTGTGTCGGGAGGATGTCCCAAGGCGCTGGATAGACAGAGTTACGGACCCGAGCTGAGGGTCGGCGTGGGGGAGTGGGAAGGCAGGGAGGGAAGCAGGGAAGCACAATCGAAGAGGAAGGTCTTCAGGTGGGTCTTGAAGGTGGTGAGGGAGGGGGCGAGACGGAGGGACTGCAGGATGGAGTTCCAGAGGGTGGGTGCAGAGTGACGGAAGGCCCGCCCTCCGATAGTGGAGTGAGCAAGGCGGGGGACATGAAGTAGACCGGAACCCGCTGAGCGGAGGAATCGAGCAGGGTGGTAGGGGGTTAGGAGGTCGGAGAGGTAGGGGGGAGCAAGACTGTGGAGGGCTTTGAAGGTGAGGACCAGGATCTTGAACTGTAACCTCTGTGTGATGGGAAGCCAGTGGAGTTGGGCAAGGATGGGGATGATAGGGTCGCGGAGCCTAGTGTGGGAGAGGATAGGGGCTGCAGAGTTCTGGATGATCTGCAGCCTGTGGAGGGAGGCATTGGGGAGGCCGACAAGCAGTGAGTTTGCATAGTTGAGCCTCGATGTAATGAAGGCGTGTATGAGGGTTTTGGCGGTCTGCGGTGTGAGACAGTGTCGGAGGCGGGCCACTTTGCAGTGGTGGGGGAAGGCAGAGCGGGTCATGGCGCAGATGTGGGGTAGAAAGGATAGTTGAGGGTCAAACAAGACCCCAAGGTTCTGGACTGGCTTAGCAAGGTGGAGTGTGCAACCATGGATGGTGATGCTGTTAGTGCCTGAGGTGAGGAGGAGCTGATGGAAGCCAATCTGGAGAGCCTCAGTCTTGTTGACGTTCAACTGAAGAAAGTCAGCTCTCATTTAGGACTTGATATCTGACTGGAGTCAAGGGTGGAGACAGAGAGGTAGCGTTGGGTGTCACCGCATACATGTGGAAGTTGATCCCATGTCTGCAGATGATGTCACCAAGAGGGAGCATATAAATATTGAAGAGGAGGGGACCAAG